CATCCTTTTAATGTGGTGAATTCAGTTTGCTAATATTTTCTTTAGAATTTCTGCATCTCTAGTCATCAGGGATATTGGCCTGCAGTTCTTGCAGTGTCCTTATATGGCTGTGGTATCAGGGAAATTCTGGCATTGTAAGTTTGGGGGTGTTCCCTCCTCTTCAAATTTTGGAAGAATTTGAGGATTGGCATTAATTCTTCTTTAAATGTTTGGTAAAATTCACCAGTGAAGACATCTGGTCCTGGGCTTTTCTTTTTTGGGTGTTTTTTTTTTTCCCCTGATTCAATATCCTTACTCACTGTTGGCCTGTTCAGATTTTCTCTCTCTTCCTGATTCAGTTTCGGTAGGTTCTAATGTTTCCAGGACTTTGTCCATGTCTTCTGGGCTGCACAGTTTTGTTGGCATATAGCTGGTCATAGTAGCTTCTTATGATCTTTTCTGTTTCTGTAGTATTAGTTGTATTGTCTCCTCTTTCATTTATAATTTTATTGATTTGCCTCTTCTTTTTTTTCTTGGTTAGTCTAGCTAATGGTTTGCCAATTGTTTACCTTTTCATGAGCTTCCCTTGTGGCTCAGCTGATAAAGAATCCACCTGTGATGTGGGAGACCTGGGTTCAATCACTGGGTTTGGAAGATCCCCTGGAGAAGAGAAAGGCTACCCACTCCAGTATCCTGGTCTGGAGAATTCCATGTACTGTATAGTCCATGGGGTCGCAAAGAGTCAGACATGACTGAGCGACTTTCAATTCAATACCTTTTCATAAAATCAACTCTTAGTTTTGTTGGCCTTTTCTATTGTTTTCCTATCTCTACATAATGTACTTTTGCTCTAATTTCTATTATTATTTTTTTTCCTTCTGCTAAATTTGGGCTTTGTTTAGTCTTCTTTTTCAAGTTCTTCTAGATAATTAGATTTAAAAACATTTAAGATTTCTTATCATCCAATATAGTTAACCCATTTTTTGCGTATCAGCATGGTTGATATTTATTTCTATGTGAATTGTCTTATTCTGACGCGAAGAGTCAGGCATGACTGAGCAACTTCACTTTCACTTTTCACTTTCATGCATTGGAGAAGGAAATGGCAACCCACTCCAGTGTTCTCGCCTGGAGAATCCCAGGGATGGGGTCACACAGAGTCGGACACAACTGAAGTGACTTAGCAGTAGCAGCAGTAGTAAGCTTTTGTTTGATAGCCATTTTCATGTTTTCTGTCTCTGCCTTAAGGGTTGTGCTTTGCTTTTGATTGATTTGAAAAGTGACCTTTAAATTCTAACAGCCATTTTTGCATTCCAAAATATTTAAACAAGTATTATCTCAAAACTACAGCTAATGACTCCCTCCTTTCATGTTTTATTTTTCTTATTCCTCCCACGCCACTTCCTGTTAATGATAACATAATGTGGGATTACTGAACAAAATTTTTATGGAAAAAGGTATCTTTTTAAAATAAAGTAGGTTAAATCCTGAATTATTTTTAACATCTGCAGTGCTTTTGAGCCATATTTAAATAGTCACACTTACTCCTATATTTTATTTCCATATTCACCATCAGGACTTCTACCATGCGGCTCTATTTCAAAAGCTTTTATTTTGAATCATCTTTTAAGTTATTTCTATCAAATAAATTCTTTAGCGCTTTGGACTCTTCAAAGCCCATATATAAACAAGGATTATTTCTGTGGCTCATACATATGACTGATACAAAATTAGTGAACACACATGTCCTTTTCTCCTCAGCATATTATATATACTATCCAGTGTATCACATTAGTGTGTGATACACACTAAGAAGATTTTGTCCCTTTGTAAGGAATCTTTTCTTTTTCTCCTTGAAAATCTATGTGTTCTCTATTTTTAAAATTCAAAATGTCATCCAAGTATTGAACAATTTTTGTTATTTTTGTTTTGACCACAGTGGGATCTTTTTATCTGAAGATCACCATTTTCCTTTAGCTCAAGAAAAATTCGTTCTATAAATAATGCTTATCTTCTATTTGTTGGAACTTTCATCTAGACATGAATAATCCACATATTGGATGCCCAACCTCCGTTCTTTTTTAATTTGGCTGAGCTGGGTCTTAGTTGCAGAACGCAGGATCTTCAGTCTTCATTGTGGCACGAGGGATCTTCAGTTGCAGCATGCAGGATCTAGTTCCCTGACCTGGAATGAAACCTGGTCCCCTGCTCTGGAAGCGTGAAATCTTAGTCACCTGACCACCAGGGAAGTCCCCCAACCTCTGTTCTGAATATCTGTTTTTCTGAAGCTTTAGTAACAAGGAGACCCAAGAACAAAAACAGTTCAGAGATCCAGGTTTGTCTCAAGGCAACAGTATGTACAAAGTTTCTGAGGTGGGAAAGAACTCTGAGCAGTCCAGAAGAGAAAGAAGATCCTCTGAGGGGAGTGCAGAGAGGGAGGGGTGCTTGATGACATCAGAGAAAAAGGGGGGGCCTTGCAGACCATAAATTTAGTATTTAAGTGTGAAGAAATGCCATCGAGGGACTTTAATGAGGGCAGTGACATCATTTCAATGTCAAGTTCACTTTTCCAAGAGGAATGCATTGAGGGGAAGAAAGAAAATGGAAACTGGCTCTGAAGCTGTTACAGTTGGTTAAGTGAGAGTCAACTGTGGCTCAAACCAATGTGATAGCAGTACAGAGGTGGGAAATGGGAATTTCAAGATAATTGTGTATAACAGAGCAATAGGACTCGACAGTCACCTGGATATAGGAATGAAGGGAAAGGTGGGATCACAAATGACTAAGATTTTTAGCTTCAATAATTGTTAGATTTCCAATATAGGGAAGGCTATGCCAAGGGAACCTGCTTAGGAGGGAAAAGTATGGATTAGGGAACAAACTAAACTGTTTTAACAAAGAGATCCTAAAATACAGTGGCTTATATGAAATAGAAGTGTATTTTTCTTCACATAACAAGCAAGAGGTGAGCAATCCAAGTAGCAGGCAGTTATGCTTTCACATCTGGCTTCTTTCTCGGGGTCCGGAGTAGATGCTCCAATTGCCACCATTTCCAGCCAGTGAGAATGGAAAAGAGAAAGTGGAAGGCAAGCAATTTCCTTTTAAAAGGATGTGACCTGCATATGCCCATGTATGTGGGCTCCTCTGACAAATTATCCTCCAGGAGATAAGTCCCCTTACATTCAAGCCCTTATTTTATCTCCCACATTACAGGCACTCTTGTTTTATGTTGACAAAGAACTGTGAGGATAAGGACATGTTAGCCTGCAAGACTGACACCAGCCCAGTCTTAGATTCTTACAGAAGTGGTTCAGCAGCTGGCCTTGCTGCTTTGAGTAAATGAGCAAAGCATTATTCCGTCCAATGCTTGGCGGTGTTGTGGTCTCCCTGGTGACCACGATACCAAGGTGTGGTGGGCAGACAGGACCAGGTCTCTGCTGACAGGCCAGATACCACCTGCTAGAAAAAGAATCAGGTTCCACTCTTGGCTGTGGCACCAACTAGCTGTGGGAATCTGTCTCTCAGTTTTCTCATCAGCAAAATCCTGGTGTTCACTGAGGTCTCTCCCAGCTGGAACATTCTGTTTTCTATGAGAATGAAAGAATAGGATGCCCAAGGCTAAACATCGGTAAGGAGAACTGGCTATAGACTTAGAAGCCAGATGGAATGCAAACACTATTTGTTGCTCTCAAAGTTTACATGTTGGAATCATTTACTGAAGACAATAGATTTTACTCTAGATCAGAGTTTCTCAACTGGGACCAGATAATTCTTCACTGTGGGTGGCTGTCCTGTGCATTCCAGGATATTAAACTGTATCCCTGGCCTCTCTCCACTAGATGGTAGGAGCATCTCACTCTCAGTTGTGACAACCCCAAAATGCTCCCAGACACTGCCAGATGCCCTTAAAGGGCAATAGTGCCCGGGGCTGAGAACCACTGATCTAGCTGTTTTCCTGTGTGTGTATGTGTGTGTGTTAGTTCCTCAGTTGTGTCTGATTCTTTGTGACTCTACGACCCCACGGACTGTAGCCCCCCAGGCTTCTCTGTCCATGAAATTCTCCAGGTAGGGATACTGGAGTGGATTGCCATTCCCTTCTCCAGAGGAACTTCCCAACCCAGGGATGGAACCCTGGTCTCCTGCACCGCATGGAGATGCGATGCATTTGAGCTACAGGAAAGTCTTCATTTATCAATACTTTTTATGAAAAATGAAATTCAATGTATTGATACAATGCATAATATAGTCAAAGATCTGAAATAGAACTGGTTCCTTCTTAACCATTTCCCATCTTTAAGCAATAAAGATTATTCCTCTTAAGAGAAGGTAAAAAAATTACCCATATTAAAAACACTGATAGTAAATACCATTAATAAGCATGATTAAATGATGAATAGTTCTACATCTCTCTAGTAACCTCTTTGTATTCTGTCAAGTAGCACTCCAAAATAAAAATTATGACTTCTGTTATGGCTTCATATTTCTTTACAACAATCACTAAAGTAATTTCCAATTTGGTAAACTAATAACTTATACCATTTAGTTTTAATGGAATTACATCTTAATCATCAAGCTAAAGTCATAAGAAAATAATGACACTGTCACTTGAAGATCACCTCAGTCTTCTGTTCACCATGTATCACCCTTAAATTAATTCCAGCAGAAAGTCTAAGGAATTAATGGGTCAAACGCCTAGCATATAAAGTAGTATGCTAATACAGTTCAAAGACAATACAGTAGAACATCTTATTTAAACTTTTGATAACAGAACAACACAGAAGCGGAAATCTCTGTGAAATTTTTTTTTCTCTTTTTGGTAACAAAACATTAATACCTTATACTGGTGGGAAACTATGAGGTTTAAAGAATAAAATAACAGAGCTACACAATACACTTGAGATAGGAGAGACTGCTCCTAGAACTTACAGGAACAAAGTTCCTTAAGTTCCAGGCACATCTAGTCAACCCTCATTTTTCTCTAGAACAACTACAAGTGGGCCAGCTTATAAAGCAGCTGCTCTCTAAAGACAGCTCTTACCCACTACAAAGCTCTTAGGATAAACGTGTTTATACTTTGGCAGAACTGTCACATGGATGCTATAACCTGTATAATCTCCGTAACTGTGGGAATTATACAACACTATTCGGTGAAATTTCTTGCCTTCGTTCATGATTTCTTCATTCCTTTTTTCAGTGGACATACAGTTTTCTAAAAAGTTTGAATCTTCTAAGTACATCTCATCTCCTGAAAAATAATAGTTTAGTGTTATTTTATAAAACCTTCCAATATATTGTATTTATTTTTATTCATTTCATGTATTTGGAACTGATATAGCTGTTAAATAATCAGAACTTTTCAAGTTTACCTCAATATATTTCTTGTGTTTTTAATATCCTACCTAACCTCCCCAGTTCCCCATTTTCTATCCAAGAATTTTCTTTGGGCACATGAATATTTATAACTGGTACTTTTTCATCCTGAATTATAATTTTTTATACTAATTCAAGACTCTCTTTATTTCATTCAATATAACGTTCACCTTGATATCCATATAATTTTGGTGTTTCAGTGTGGGCTGCTCCAATCACTTTAGGTTAAATTAGAGAAGCTATCATTTACACATCAAAACTGCTAAGCTGTCCCACTGCAGGATGAGTAACGAATATTATCACAATTCTGAGAAGTGAGACAAGCAGCCGTAAGTAAGAGAGGTCAGAAAACTCCACTGTAAGCTGCCACAAAACTTCTGTCCTGTACCAACCCAACAATAACTGACCACCAACAAAACTCTCTTTCAATCAAATAAGTATAATTTACAAGTTTTCATAATTCAAAATTAAAAGGTAAAAAAGTGAGATAATAGTCAAGAAAGAACTCTTGCTAATGTCTAGGAAATATATTTACATAAGTGTATATAAAGTAATACATCCAGAATTTCTGGTTATAATAAAAACTATGAATATCTTATAGAACTTGACCTTATCTAATTAGCTCCATTGTAGCATATAAAACATAAGATTGTAATTCATGTGTCTGTGTGGGAGAATACTGCAATACAGCCCAGAGCATAAAATGGGAATATCAACAAGAACATTGGTAAACACGGATTTACCTGGTAAAAGATGGATCTTCCCATCAGCAGTTAACAATACGATTGGCATCCATCTTTCCGTGCCTTCTGATTCACGATCCAAAGAAAATTTGTGCAAGTCAGAGAGAGAGGCAAAGTTTCCTAGTCTACGTATTTCGTAGAACTGTGGGGGTGCAAGCAAAATTTCCTTTGATATGAGGCTTTCAATTGCCTCTGATGGAGATGACCACTGTGGAAAACAAAGGTAGAGTTTCCTAAGGTTTACCCCATAGACAATGCAAGATTTGAGATCCTTGGATCAGTACTTAAGATCTAACTGAAAAAAATGTAAAATTAATTCATTAATGTATCTTGCTAGATTCCTCTGAGAAAAGGAAAGACTCAGTGAAGAAAGCTGGGCTGATCCCCTTCAGACGTTGATTATTAGGACATGGATCCTCAGAACTAGTAAATAAGCCAGGATAGATCACAACAGATTGAACTGGGAGAGTTGTTCAGCATAAGAGGCAGGAGATGCTAAGAAGGCAAGGAGGTTCTGATCACTTTCAAAGGAAGCCTGAAGTATAAATTCATGGCAGCAGATTGAGAACTTAGAGCCCGTTCATTCCTCCCATAAATGAGAGAGACTCTCAAGGGTCTCTCATTCCTGCCTACCTTGGCTAAGCAATGAGGACATGCTGGTGAACAAGACAAAGCTCTCTCAGGCCTAGTAGGGCCTTCAGCAAACAAAATGTAGCATGGTACATGTAGTGTGTAACAATGAAGGTAAAGAGTCAGGAGCAAGAGAAGCTTTCAGAAAGGTCAAGAGGCATGACTCAGTCTATTGTCCCAGGAGTGAAATAACTGCATTATATCAACCAGACAGCACTTAACATAAGTAGCCTCACTGCTGTGCCCTCTTTCCCCAGTCTTCCTTCCTTCCACATTTAGCTAAAAAGAGCTGATTCAATTAATATGAAATAACTCCAGAAGGTCTTTCTTTCTTTAACTGCTTTACTGCTAAATATCTACATTCAGTGGGGAAATTGACCCTCACATCCAAAACCAGGGAGTTGAAATTGATTGCCTTTAATAATTATAGAACAACAATTTACAAGCTTGTATGAGAAACCTGAGAAACTTGGTAAATCTTCACTGTATGGAGCCCAGCAATCTATGTTTAGTAAGCATCCTAGATTCTTCTGAAGTTGGCCAAGGCTACGTTTTGAAAAACAAAGCTTTGGTCTTAAAGGACCACCCAATCTCTAAGGTATGCTTTGTGAGTTCCATGATAACAATGACGATAAAGGGTTAAACAACAAGCATTAACTCAGTGCAACCTGTTCAGAACAGTCCAGACCATAGGCTAAAATAATCTTAATTAACTTATTGTTTATTGGCTATTTGTTACTAGTAGAACACTGCCCAAAATACTTCACATACTTTCCAATCCTTAATCACTGCAGATGGTGACTGTAGCCATGAAATTAAAAGACGCTTGCTCCTTAGAAGAAAAGCTATGACCAACCAGAGAGCATATTAAAAAGCAACAGCATTACTTTTCAACAAAGGTCCATCTAGTCAAACTATAGTTTTTTCCAGTAGTCATGTATGGACGTGAGAGTTGGACTATAAAGAAACCTGAGAGCTGAAGAATTGATGCTTTTGAACTGTGGTGTTGCAGAAGACTCTTGAGAGTCCCTTGGACTGCAAGGAGATCCAACCAGTCCATCCTAAAGGAGATCAGTCCTGGGTGTTCATTGGAAGGACTGATGCTGAAGCTGAAACTCCAATACTTTGGCCACCTGATGTGAAGAACTGACTCATTGGAAAAGACCCTGCTGCTGAGAAAGACTGAAGGCAGGAGAAGAAGGGGATGACAGAGGATGAGATGGTTGGATGGCATCACCAACTTGATGGACATGAATTTGAGTAAGCTCCAGGAGTTGGTGATGAACAGGGAAACCTGGCGTGCTGCAGTCCATGGGGTCACAAAGAGTCAGACACGACTGAGCGACTGAACTGAACTTCCTGACAGGAAAAGTCAAACACCTTTAAAAAAAAAAAGACAAAAGCCAGTACTCAACTGAAAATCACATTCAACATTCCATCAAAAACTGGGCTTCCTGTGGTGGCTCAGTGCTGAAGAATCTACCTACCAATGCAGGAGACTTGGATTCAAACCCTGACCTGGGAAAATTGCCTAGAGAGGGAAAAGGTAACCCACTTCAGTATTCTTGCCTGGGAAATACCATGAACAGGGGGAGCCTAGTGGGCTACAGTCCATGGGGTTGCAAGGAAGTCAGACAAGACTAAGTGACTGAACAACAACGACAATAAAAAACTATAAGACCTCAGCAGAAAAATGTGACCCGTAACCAGAAGAAAAATCAGGCAATAGAAACAGACCCAGAAATTATAGAGATGATGGAATTGGCAGAAAAGGACATTAAAAATCACTATTACAAGTATGTTCCATTGGCTCAAAGATGTAAAGGAAAATATGAACATGAGAGAAATAGGAAATGTTTTTTAAAAAAAATAAATGGAACTTCTAGAGATGAAAATTACACTGGATGATATTTACAGCAAGTTTGATACTACATGTAAACAGAGAAAATTTGAAAATACAGCAATAAATCTATTCAGAATAAAGCACAGAGGAAAAGAGCTAAAAAAAAAAAATGAACAAGTGATCAAGGACCCACAAAAAATTATCAGGTAGTCTAACATACATGTAATTGGAGTCCCAGAAAATAGGGGGAGGTGAAAAATATTTGAAGAAACAAATAATTATTAACAAAACAAAAGGGAAACTATGTACATCATAATCAAATTACTGAATACCAGTAATTAAAGAGAAAATACTTAAAGCAGGCATACATATCAAAACCAAGAATACAAACACGTTATGTACAGAGGAACAGAGTTAAAATCAAACTTTTCTAAAAGATGATGAATGTGCACTAAATTTATTGTGGTAATTATGTTATGGTATATATAAGTCAAACCATCATGCTGTCACTTTAAACTTACACAATGTGCAGTGCTAAGTTGCTTCAGTCATGTCTAACTCTTTGCAACCCTATGGACTATAGCCTGCCAGGCTCCTCTGTCCATGGGATTCTCCAGGCAAGAATACTGGAATGGGTTGCCATGCCCTCCTCCAGGGGATCTTCCCAACACAAGGATCGAATCTTTGTCCCTTATGTCTCCCACATTGGCAGGCAGGTCCTTTACCATTAGTGCCACTAGCTGTATGTCAATTATATCTCAATAAAACTGGAGGAAAAAGAAGCAGATTTCTCACCAGAAGGTCATGCAAACTGGAAACTAACGAACATCCTTAAGTACTGGCAGAAAAACAAAACAAAAACTCATACTGTTAACCTATATAGAATTCTACACCCACATGAAATAGCTTTCAAAAAATAAAAGCAAAATATTTCCAGACAAACAAAATTTAGAGGATTCACTGTCAGAAGATTCAAGACATATTAGAGGAAGTTCTTTAGGCAGAAAGATACCAGATGTAAATTTAAATCTACACACACGAATGAAGAGTGCAAAGAACACATATGCAGGTAGACAAAAAATATTTCCCCCTCATTTGCACAGTTTTCAATAGAATAACTGCTTAAAGCAAAAATAATCACTGTATTGTAGAGTTTATAGTAGAAATAAAAGTCAAATGTATGACTACAAAAGCATACATGACAGGAGGGGAGAAATGGAAATATACTATTTTATGATTCTAATACTACACATGAAGTGAGAGATGTACTGCAAATCCTAAAGCAACTACAAAGAAGTACAGTTAATTAGGCAGTAATGGAGATAAAAAGAGTCCAAAAAATACTCAAATAATCCAAAAGAAGTCAAGAAAAGAAGAAAAACAGTGCAAAGAATAGAAGGGACAGATTAAAAAAACTAACAGCAAGATAGTAGATTTGAGAATAACATTGAATGTAAATGATCCAAACACTCCAACTGAAATGCAGAAACTATCATAATGGAGAAAAGGTAAGACTATATGCTGCCTACAATAAACATACTTTAAAGACACAGGTTAAAAGTAAAAAATGGAGGAGGATACACTATGCTATTGCTAATTAAATGGAAGACTGAGCAGCTATATCACTATCAGATAATAAACTCCAGATTTCAGAATAAGGAACATTGTCAGGGATAAAGAAGGCTAGTTCATCATAATCAAAGACTAGCTCCAACAAGCTTGAATAGTCTTATGCAACACCTTACAAACGAGCTTCAAAATACCCAACGGAAAACCTGACAGAACTGAGAACAAGACAAACCCACAGTTACTTCTTAGGGATTTCAACAACCTTTTCTCAGAATTCGATGGAACAGGTTAACGATATGGAAGACCTAAAAAGACACTATCAACTAACTTAACCTAATTGACATTTTTAAAAACACTCCATCAAATACAGCAGAAAATACATCAACCACAGCACATTCTTTTTCAGGTGCAGAGGAATCATTCACCAAGGTAGGCCATATCCATAGAAGAAAGTGAAAGTCGCTCAGTCTTGTCCGACTCTTGGCGACCCCACGGGCTAGCCAGTCCATGGAATGCTCCAGGCCAGAATACTGGAGTGGGTAGCCTTTCCCCAACACGTCTCAAATGAAAACGTTTCAAAACAAACGGCTGCGGGGACGAAAAGAGTGAAAGCGTGGCAACTGATGAGGAAGGAGCACTTAGCAGAACTCCCAGGATCTCCGCCGGCCACCCGCTGGAGAAGCCGCGTCGGGGAGGCCTCGTCGAGGCCCTGGGACTGCGAAGCGGGAGAAAGCAGAAAGCAGCTCACCAATGTTACAGCTTTGGCCTGCTGGGCCGGGGTCCGGCCCGCGTGGGTCCCAGGCCCGCCCGGGAGCTAACTGGCTATTACGGCCCTGAGGCGGCCTCCTGGAAGGTCCGGGGGGGCCTGGGCCGCCTGCCGGGGTCCTCATTCTCTAGCTCCTGTGGGTCCCCACTCCGGGCGGGAGGACGCCCTACCTGGCAGCCCACCACCTCCACCAAGTCGGGGAAGACCGGCGGCGGCTCGCTCAGGCAGCACAGGAAGAAGGTGGTCTCGAAACGGCGGCCGCCGGGGCGTGAGAAGGGCGTGATCCAGCCGCTCCAGTCGCGCAGCGCCCAGATGTCGGGAGTGCAGTCGAGCTGCGAGCACAGGCTCAGGAAGTACCGCGGGTCCCGGCGGACGCGGGCGCGCCAGTCGGCCAAGGCGGGCGGCGGCGCGAGGGCGCAGCCTGGCGCCTGATCAGCGGGCCGCGGGCTCCTGGGCCGCAGCAGCAGCACGCCCGCCTCCTCGAATGCCTCGCGGATGGCGCAGATGCGGAAGGCGATGTCATCGGGCAGCGCCGCCGCGTCCACGTCCACGGCTCCCGGCTGGATGTTGGGCAGCACCGGGAAGGCGGCGCGCTGGGGCGGCGCGGGGCCCAGGCCAAAGCGGGGCGGCCGGTGGTGCGGCGCGAAGAGGCGCAGCCAATCGGTCGAGCGGTCTGCCGCCTCCAATACCCCGCCCGGGAAGACGTGCGCCCCGGGCAAGAAGCCTTGGCTCGCGGAGCGCTGCAGCAGCAGCACCCGGAATCCCTCGGCGGGTGGGTGGGGCCTCGATGGGGCGTCGGGGACCGGGCGCGTCCAGCCCGCCGCCAGCACTAAGGTGGCTGCCCGCCTCCAGCTGCTTGGGCCCGGTCGCACCGGGACACTCATGGCGGGCGGCGGCGAGAGGCTTCCGGGCTCGGGGTTCTGGTGCGACTGGAGCTCTCCCGGGAAGTGAGCACAGACGCTGGCTTCTTGATAAGTGAACTCCCGCCTCTCCCTGGGAGGCGCGCAAGGGGCAATAGGTGAACCCGGGCTGTTTGGCCTCGCTGGCGCCTGCCTGTAAGGAGGGTGTGGTGGCGACACAGAAGCTCCGCCTCGAATGCCCGTGTTCCCAGCCAGGTCACTCTAGCGGGACAGAGGCTGTCACAGCCACGTGCTAGGAGGGCCTCATTGTCCTCACCCAGGACACGTGGACTAGAGCAGGAATGCTTAGGGTCACATAATGACTGTCGACGTAAAAGGGCGATGCAAACCTTGGCCTAGTGACACCTACCTGATCAAACAAAACCCGAGAACTAGGACTTTCTCGATTAAACAAGGACTCGACAAGAGGGTATGTTTCCTTTGGCGGGGGGTGGGAGGCCGTGAAGGGGGATCCAGGGGGTAGGTGTTGGAGCTTTGCAAACTGACATGAACCCCAGCAATGAGAAACTGACGGATGAACCAGATACCGAAGTACAAATTTCACACTGCACAGTCTGAGTGTGAAAAGTGCTCCTTAAATCCCAGGACAAGCTCCTGCCTTGTGATCTGGGACACCTTTTATTGTCAAGGGCACCTGGGAACAGCTTAAGCATTTTAGGTCATTTGATAATTTCCTCTTTCATGAAAAGTAAAAGTGTTAGTCACTCAGTTTCTTTGTGACCCCATTGACTATAGCCTACCAGGCTCTTCTGTCCATGGAATGTTTCAGGCAAGAATACTGGAGTAGGTTGCCATTTACTTCTTCAGGGGATCTTCCCCACCCAGGTATCAAACCCAGGTCTCCCCCAATGCAGGCAGTTTCTTTACCACTGAGCCCCTGGGAAACAGTTTCTCCTACAATTGCTATTATAGTTGATCACACATTTGTTATGTTTTTGGATGAGTATATAGACCATGGGCTTCCCAGGTGGCACTAGTGGTAAAGAACCTGCTTGCCAGTGCAGAAGGCATGAGACATGGGTTTGATCCTGTGTCGGAAAGATCCCCCAGAGGAGGGCATGGCAACCCACTCCAGTATTCTTGCCTGGAGAATCCCATGGACAGAGGAGCCTGACAGGCTAGTCCATAGGGTTGTATAGTGTCAGACATGACAAGTGACGTAGCACAGAACACTTACAGACCATACTCACTGAGCTTCATTTTCAAACTATCATTCTAATGTGGGATGTTTCCTGGGAGAGAATCCAGAGATGGCACCAGCTGTATTTAGGTTGATTTTTTTGTTTACGTCATTCTCTAAAGATGCAAATACATGTATGCTGACCACATCCCAGAAACAGGACCACATGTTTAGAAAAGCACGAGCAGAGGGCACGGGAGCACACATGTACTGGCAGATTGGGGTTTGGGGAGGTGGAGTCTGCCAAAGTTCATCCATCTCAAGTCTCTTCATAATCCACAATTGGGGACCTTTCCCTTATCTGCTTTCCCACTACATTCGGCTGTCTGCTCTGAGACAGTCATTTCACAATCTAGTATAGAGATCAGGGTGGTACCCCGGAGCCTATGTTTTTACCAATCCCCAACCATCCAGGTGATTTCAGTGCTTTGAGCCATGGGAAGCCATAAATGGTGGTGACATGATGAAGTTTGTATCTTCAGAGGTCACGCTGACAACAGCATGATGACTCAATTGGATGGGGCTGTTCTGGAACCCCATGGAATGTGCTGGGGAAGCAATACTGAGGGTCTGAACTAGGAGAGTGGCTGTGAAGAGGGGGAGAGGTGGGGAGAGGGAATGATTTATTAAAGAGTATTTAGGAGGTAGAACTGTTGAATATGCAGAGCAAGGGAGAGGAAGGAATTAAAGTTTTATCTTGGGAGATTGGAAACTCAATAGCTTCAAATAGTAAGCATTTACTATCTCACAGTTCCTGTGGAGGATCAAAAGCATCTTAGCTGGATGATTCTGTATCAGTATCTCCCATGATACTGTGGTCAGCATGTCAACCAGGATTTGATTAGGGACTGGGGGATCCATTTCTACAATGGCTTGCTCATATGACTGTTGGCTAGAGGCCTCAGTTCCTCACCACACTGGCCCCTCCACAGGGCTGCCTGGATGTCTTCAAGACTTACTTGGTAATCAATGATTCGGAAGAGAGGAGGGAAGAAGTCATGATGCCTTTCCTGACTTAGCCACAGAAGTCACACTCCACCACTTCCACAGTATCCTACTGTTACACTGGTCAGCTCTATTCCATATGGGAGGGGACCACATAAAAACACCAGGAGGTAGGGATCATTGGTGGTCATCTTGGAGGCTAGCTACAACAGTGGATAAAAAACCATCTAAGCATTAGGAGAAAAAAGGTAAATTCCTTTATAGTCTTTGACCCAAAATCTAGAAGCATAAGGGAAAAGATTGATCAATTTGACACACCATGCATATTTATAACTTTTATTATGACAACAGATACCATAAGTAAGTCCAAGATGTAATAAACTGAGAAAATTATTGCGTTTCACAAAGGATTGAGAGAAAAAATGGAGGAAAAAAAAACCTCAAGGGACTTCCCTACTGCTCCAGTGGTTGAGACCACTGAGTGGTCCGCCTTCTAAGGCAATGGACTCATATTCAGTCCCTGGTCCAGGAAACTAACACCCTACATACCACAGAGTAACTAAGCCCTTGTGCTATACCTAGAGAGTAGCCTGGGTGCCGAAACTAAGACCCAAAGCTGCCAAATAAGTAAATATTAAGAAAGAAAAAACCTCCAATTGTGTAATGGGCAAGAGATGTGGAAAGACAGTTCACTGTGACCTATATATTTAAGGTCACACATGCAGCAAGTGTTAGAATGTCTCCAGGCCTATTGGCATGTCCTCCGGGTGCCCTGCCAGGCACTGTTCTGCCAGGAGCACAGTGTTCTACCCCAGGCCTGACAGTAAGTATACACAGTCATCCCTTATTAGAGTTGGCAGTTCCCAAGTGCCACTTGATCACAAGAGATGAGTGACTTTGTTTATGACAGTGGTTGCTTACTTTAGAGGACAGGACTCTCAGTTCTTATGTTTCACTTGTCTGATCCTCCCCAGCTATCTTTATGATAATAAATGTCCTCATTTGATTTATCATGACAGGCATGATCCTGAAAAAAAAAAAGACTTCCCAAACATGTTTGTTCGTTACCCATAGCTATCTACTTCAGTGAGCCTAGATTCACTTCTGTTGTTTGTTATTTATCAGGTTTTTCCATGGAAAAAGAAAGGAAGAGCCTATGCGTGGCTAGCCATGGAGAGATGACTTCAGCTTGGAGAGTCAATAGTGGGCAGGAGAGTGTGTTCAGCCTGCCCGGAAATAAAGACATCATTGCAGTTAAATGAGATTCACCTGTGAGTGACTGGCAACATCCAGTGCACCAAGAATCACCACATAAAAATGATTTCTCAGAATGTTTTTTGAGAAGAGTTTTAAAAACGTTCACGTTTTCTCAAAAATGCATCGATTCTATTTAGGTGACAGTCTGGAAAAGGCAACACTGGAGGGACAGAAATCAGATCAGTGGTTGCCAGATTTGAGGGTGAGAGGAAAGGATTGCCTACAGAGGACAAGAGGGAACTTTAGGGTGGTAATGAAAACATTCCATATCTTGGTTGCAGTGGTGATTACATGGTTGTATATATTTGTCAGAACTTAAAACTGCACACCTCAGAAGGGTGAGTGTTACTCTATTAAAATTATACCTTAATAAATTTCACTTTAAAAATGTACAGATTCCAACTTCTGGATAACCTAAATTTCCTTCTATAAATGTGACGTTTTATTACATACCTTTTCTCATTTGACACTTTTATCAAGTTTTAGTTTTCAGATTGGTTTGTAACAGATTGCACCTAAATTATAGGAAGTTAGTATTCCCACATGTATTGATTCTTCTGCCCAATCATTCCATTTTAGGCAGCCAATATTTATTGAGCCTTGTGCCAGAAAAAAAATCTTCCCTCAATATGACTATGGGCCTTCCCTGGTGGTCTAGTGGTTAGGAATCTGCCTGCCAATGCAGGGAACACTGGTTTGATCCCTGGTCCAGGAAGACCCACATGCCTCGGAGCAACTAAGGCCTTTTGCCACAACTACTGAGACTGAGTGCTGCAACTATTGAAGCCCATGCACCTAGAGCCTGTGTTCCACAAGAAAAGTCACTGCAATGAGAAGCCCAAACCCAGAGGAAGTGCAGCCCCTGCTCGGGGGCAACGAGAGAAAGCCCACGCAGCAACGAAGACCTAGCACTGTCAATACCCCATGAAGTCTTCATCATCATCATCAAACTCAGTTGCCTCCGACTCTTTTGCGACCCCATGGACTATAGCCCACCAGGCTCTTCTGTTCATGGGATTTTCCCAGCAATAATACTGGAGTAGGTTGCCATTTCCTCCTCCAGGGGATCTTCCCTACCCAGGGACTGAGCCTGTGTCTCCTGCATTGGCAGATGGATTGACCACTGAGTCACCTGGGAATCTCACCCTATGAAGAATACCCTCTTATTACTCCCATTGTAAGGATATGGAAATTGAGGTCAGGGAGATTAATGAACATCTTCAATAAGAATGGGTCAGAATTCAGGGGTACCCCAGATTCTGTAGTCAGTGTTCCTAACCTTGATGCTATTGTCTTGATAATACATTTTAAAACATGCTTCTGTGTGCACCCATGGCTAACTCATGGATAGCAAAAACCACCACAATATTGTAAAGAAATTATCCTCCAATTAAAATGAATTAATTCAAGAAAAATCATGCTTCTGATTCCCTGTGGGTAAGATTCTAAAAGTTCTGCTTTGCCTGTTTGTGGCTCCTGGTGGGGTAAGGGTGTGTGTTCTGAAATCATTTCTCATTAAAATTGAGACCCTAACTGTTAAAATTTATATTTTAATAACTAACATTTTCTAGATAAGAGCATT